TTAGTAAATTTTGATAAAAGTTAATAAATATGTGATTGAAAAATTATAAATCCTTTAAAATATGTGATTAAAATTAATTGTTAATTTAACTTAAGATTTTTAACAACTTTTAATCTACACCACACCAAAATAGGGGCATACGAATATAAGAAATGATTGCTTAAAATGTAGTTGAGTTACATGAGATAGACATAATACACTAATGGTTCCCAAGAATGGAGCTAGACTTTTAGCATTGTTGGATCAAAAATTAAAGTGTAAATTTTTTTTTAAACAACATAACATTAATGAAAAAAGTCAATACACTATTACAACTGTGGTCTATGCATCTTTATAATTTGAAAATATTGTATAATTATATTATTATCAATATTGTCGAATATATCGTTATCAATATATGCAACCAAACTATCACTTAACCATTGATCCCCCATTCGATTAAGCACTCGATTATTAATAATCTTCATTACAGAAGATATCCTCTACCATAACAGTAACAACTGGAAGAATTAACATCAATGTTACAAGCATGCAAACTAACGCCATCTGGAAGAATTACACCAATGGTTCTTCTCGAACATCTATTTTCAACTTGAACACTCTTTTCAAAAATAATTTGCTTTCAACTAGAAAACAATAATTTTCATTTATAATATTTCTCCATAACCGTTACAATATTAATTTTAATACATAAATAAATAAATACCATATTTCACTTTTCATCAAAATACAATATTAAATTCATAATAGATAACAATTAATTTCATATATAATTCTAAATCACCGAATTACAGAAAGTCATGGAATTGAGAATGAAGTCAAAACTTGAAATTAATAGTAATTTATTTTGGTCAAGAAACACGCACACATAAATCAAGAAATTCTTTGCCAATAAATAAACCCCAAAGTAGAATTTTATTGCTGCACATACACATACGATTCTAAAACTCGACACTATAATGAATAAAATTTTAATTTCTTTTTCTTCTTTAGTATTATCCATCTCATGGCCTCAATCGTCACCAAACAGGTTCTCATCTAGGGCTAGGGCCTAGGTTTAGTGGGTCTGCTTTAAAAATACAGAAAGGGGTTTTCAATTCATGGACCACAACAAGAACAAATAATGGTACTTGGCTACTAAATGCACATGAAGTAAACTCAAGAATTCTTAAAATAGAAAATTAAAGGAACAACAAACAAATTGAGACAGATTGAACCCACATTTCAATTGATGCAAGAACCTCTTCTGGGTTATCCACTGCAATGTGTCTGCCGTGAGGAAAAGAAAGAGCAGTTAGGATTTGAGAGAAGAGAGGAACTGAGATTTGGGAAAAGAAAGGAAGCCATATGCTGTCGTGTTTCACCGGGAAAAGAGACTATGGTTTAGGATTAGGTTAGGGCAATGCAATTGCATATGGTTTAGGATTAGGTTAGGGCAATGCAATTGCATATTTAAATTAAAATGAAAAATAAATTTGCANGGGCAATGCAATTGCATATGGTTTAGGATTAGGTTAGGGCAATGCAATTGCATATTTAAATTAAAATGAAAAATAAATTTGCAGGTGCGAAGTGTGGGTAAAACGTGGGCAAAATGCCTCGCTTCGGGCCCAGGCGCATTTTTTTAGTATAGTATTTTAGAAAAGTCTACATATACATAATTATTGTACATATTATTGTCCATAATGTGATGTGACAATTATTCGATTGTTGATATGAAAGTGTGAGATTTAAATTAAAGGTTGGATTCAGTGCCACATATAATTATGGATATCATTATATAGACAATTATATACATGTAGCACTTTTCATAATATTTTAGAATTTTAGATGTTTAGTAAGTATTATTTTAATTATTAAATAATTTTTAAATTGATTAAAAATTAAAAATAATATTAAAATAAGAAACAAATTTTTTTTTTTTTTTTTAAATATGTCTAGATCCGCCTGGCTTGAAACTTAAGCTTTATGTCTTAAATTGTTTAGAACACTGCTTGACCCCACATGAGGGAGTCCGCCCCGGATGGCTCCCAAGAAATTAATAAAAGGAGACTTCTTAAATTAGTGATGGAGATGGTTGACTTTCCTTGTACACACAATGATTTCGTTGCCTACAATTAGTGAGGGAAGTTAGGATTTGGTTGGTAAATGAAAAAGGCTTTGGGTGATACTTCCCTGTGTAGAAAACTTCGCACCCAATGGACCAAAGCTTTAAAGCAAAGATTACATGATTATATACCCACATCAAGACTTAAAAAGTAATTGATGCCATTATTAGTTATTAAAATCTTAAAAATTTTGTTAATACCTGCCAAGGTCAAGAGTGAAATGGAAAACTACCCTAACTTGTTAATTTATTATAAGATCGTCTCATTTTTAGTTATTATTTCAATAATACCACTATGATTATCTAATTCCTTACACTATCATCATGCCTCATGTTCTTTTCTAACGTTTTCATCCTTCTCCCAATCAACTTTCTTTCGTGCTTCATCAACACTTCATACCCTCTCTAAATAGAAAGGGCATCGCCCTCTATGTGTTGATTAGTAGGTCAAGAGCGAAGAGGTGATGTAATAGGAATATAGGTAAAGAAAAAGGTGTCCTGCAAAATACGAATATCATTAACAATACGATTGTTTATAAACTATTTATAAACATGAGCCAAACATAAACTAATATCAATTGATTTCTTTATTTAAAATGGATTATTATATTTACACTACAACTTTCAATAATTGTATTTGTACCACATTCTAATTACACTTAAATTCTTCGATTTTTGCTTATTATAGCATTTATATCTTTAACATTAATTATAGTGGGCAATGGTTGAAGACTTTAAGTACAATTAAAATGCGATAAGGAAAAAATTGAGGTGAGAATATAAATTACCTTTTTAAAATTTCAATGCTGGCTTCAAACGGATTATTTAGAACTATGATACCATAAATTTTCATTTAAATTAAAAAAAAAAGTTAATTATAATTAAAACTTTCTTGATGTAGCATACTGTCGGGTATATCAATTTGGTTTTTAATGAGGATAATGTACTTAACCTTAAATTAGGAAAATAACTTGCAGACAAGTGACAACCATAGAAATATAATGGGCCCACAATGGATTTGACATATGAAACCTAAAATTGAAGGCCGGTCCAAATCTACTGGGGGTCCACCACTAGTCTGCCCAAAGACAATGTACAAACACTTTACTATGAAAAATATTATACCATTTTACAATCTCACTATCAAAATAAATAAACAAAAATAAAAATAAAAATAAAAAGAGAAAAGATGAAAAACTAATCTAACCTAATATTTGGACATCAGTTTCTAAACTTTAATTTTTGTAATATTTGAGTCAGCAGTTCACAAGTTTATGTTGTATTTAGTAAAAACTCAAATTTTGTTAGAGTACAATATTTCCCTTATGTTTGATTGAACAAAAAATAAATACTTATTGAATCTGAGAAAATAAAATAAAGATAAGAAATTTTTAATGTTAATTTTGTAGTTTCCTTTTATATTTAATTGAAGATATAATCCTCTTTGTAATAAAAATTCTAGCATTTGATCAATATTCGCTATCGATCAATTCGTACTGAAATAAAATATTAGAAATTGCAACAGTCAAAATAATAAGTTGATGACATACTTGCTACATTACTAATAGGTCACAATAGGTCACGTACGAAACTATACTTTCCAAAATAAAATTGTTCGATAATAAACAAACATATAATGACTTCATGCTACAAGATTCGGAAGAGTTACAGCTGATGACAAAAAAAAAAAAAAAAATAATAATAATAATAATAAAATAACAACAATTGTTATACAATTTAAAGTATGACAATGAAGTTGTTCAATATAATATCAAATAATAAAAATTTAACATTCCAACTTTCAACATCGCACATTTATAAAAAATTATACTCGTGCATTTGTTGAAATATAGGATTCAACACTTTTAGTCTCATCTTTTAATCCTTTTATGTAACTAAAGAAATTTAATTGTCAACTAATTGTAATTAGCGTAATGCTATTTAGCCTCATTGAGTTTCAATTTGATTATAGGTGGCTTTAAATGATAGAAAACGAGTTACTCGCTCAGGAAAATCAACACTTAAGGTGGGAGAGGAATGGAGTAAGTAAAATAAAATCTAACATCACTTAGATTGAAGATGTAACTCCAGTGAAATTATGTAGTGATGATTCCAGATCTTGTCCATCACGAACTCGACCTTATAACCCCAATCTCCATACCCCCTAAAAACACCAAGACAAGGTCGGGCATTTGAGGTCGGGGTATGTATATTGACTCGATAGCTTTTCTATAAGACCTATGGGGACACTAATCCTTCTCTGGTCACAATTCCTACCCTGTTAGACTCCTTTTTTGACTCAAACAGTGACATGAATACTTGAGGTGAAACACTAACTCCTTTTCCTACGAGGATAAGGATCGTAGAATAAGTTCTTCTAGGACTCCACCGCTGACATTTATAAATACCCAACCTGTGCTCATTCTTGAGGTACGTTTTTCATTATCTTCAGTTTATAGCCTCATGCACTAAATTCCACATCTGACTTAAGCATCGGAGGGGCGACGAGCACACACTTCGTTGCCTTTGTTGCAGGTATTCACAGACCATTCGTGTTCATCAAAGTGAAGTTCGTCCATCAAGCTCGAGATCTTTCAAGTGATATTTTTTTGATGGCATCATTGGCGCCGTGTGTGGAAAATCGCTACCAAAAGCCATGGTCAATATACGTTCAGGTCTTCCTCCAGCAAGTTCATCCGTCTCGAATAACCCTCCACTTCCTGAAAAACACCATATCTCTCAAGAAGAGTTGTCGGAGATGTCAGCACCTCCTCAAGCTGTTGTTTCCATCGGAGCTTTTGAGGAACTTCGCCAGCTGGTCGTTGCATTGACCCAATTGCTAAGTTAGAGAAATTCGCACCCGTCACATACCCCAACACCTGAAGGTGGCTTTATGGCAGATGCTTGGGCTCGAGTCCATCATGCAGCCCATGATGACGGTAGGGTTGGAACCTCAGGGGTACCACAAGTAGCATCAGGTTCAAGGTCCGTTACAATAGACTCCGCCAAATTTGCTAGAATTATTCAAGAAGGGATAGCAGCAGGTATGCAAGAAAATACTCAGGTTGCAACAGGGTTCACCCCCAATACACCATTCACTCCAGAAGTCCTCTCGTATTCCCTTCCCGATAGGTTCAAGTATCCTCGGATAAAGGAGTACGACGGGACAACTGACCTCATCAATCATCTCAATGTGTACACGGATATCATGAATTTACAGGTTACACCTGATGCGGTAATGTGCAAGGCATTCCCCCAAACCCTCACAAATGCAGCTAGAGATTGGTTTTCCACATTGGAATCGAACTCCATCACCTCCTTCTCAGATTTGGTTGATAAGTTCTCCGCTTTCTTTGCGAGCAGCAAACGAATCAAAAAGACAGCCGCATCACTCATGCAGATGCGTCAAAGACCCAATGAAACACTGCGCAGTTTCATGACCAGATTCAATAAAGAAAGGCTTCAGATCCCCGATCTACATATCACAGCTGCAGTCTCAGCTCTGACATACGCCATTAAGTGCGAAGCATTCAAAATGTCCATGTCTAAGACCTCGCCGAAGTCAGTCACTGAGCTATTCACACGGGCTGAGAAATACATCAATATGGAAGAAACCATGGCCCCAAAAAGGTAAGTTACCTCATCAAGGAGGTTGGATCAGAAAAGGCCACATGAGTCCAGCTTAAGACAAGAGACACCTAGGGTCAAACCAAGAAAGGATCTACCTTCAATGGCTTTTACCCATCTGAACACTTCGAGGTCCAACATCCTTATGGAAATCAAGGACTCTAGGGAACTGAAGTGGCCTCCCCGATTGTGGTCTCTCTCGGATACTCGTGACAAGAGTAAATACTGTGATTTCCATAGAGATCATGGCCATACAACGGAAGACTGTCTGGCCTTAAAGCGGGAAATCGAAGCTCTTATAAGAAGGGGATTTCTGAGCTCTTACATTAACAATGACAAACGCCCGAGGAATAATCAGAATGGAGGCAAAGGCCTAGAGGATCGGGAAAACAAGAAACCAACTGCAAGCACTATCAATATCATTGTCGGAGGCCCAGCCTCGGGAGGAGATTCTAGCAGCGGGCGAAAACAGTATGCCAGGCAGCCTCCAATCATCTCAACACCAGATCTTGGTCGTACAGAGGACCTCACTATTGGAATGGATGACTTGGAAGGCATAGCACTCCCCCATGATGATGCATTTGTCATAATAGCCATCATCGCCAACTTTGAAGTCAAAAGAATTCTGGTAGATAACGGGAATGCAGCAAACGTACTGTCTCATGAAGCCGTTGTTCAAATGGGGATTTCATCAAAACAACTCAAGCCAGTGAAAACACCCCTCCAAGGATTTGGAGATGGGGTCATCACCCCGAAAGGTATCGTCGGGTTACCCTTAACATGGGGGCCGAAGGTAAACAGGTGATGCAAATCACTACCTTTGAAGTTGTCCGTACGCCAATGGCTTACAATGCCATATTGGGACGACCACTACTCAACAAAATTTGAGCTATTGTCTCAACTTTCCACCTGACTATGAAATTTCCTACTTCTAATGGAATCAGGGTAGTCTGAGGCAACCAAACGGTGGCCCGACAGTGTTATGTGACTAGCGTTCGAAAGATAAAAAATGACGTCATGCAAGTTACAGAGCTCGAGCTCGAGCTCGAGCACAAAAATCACGGAAGGCTGGCTCCGGTAGAAGGATTAGAAGAGGTCGAGATCGAGCCTGGAAGAAAAGTGACAATTGGTCAGGGGTTAGATACAGCGGTCATGTCTGAACTTCTAAGTTGTCTCTCTCGCAACATTGATGTATTCGCTTGGAATATTGAGGACATGCCTGGAATTGATCCAAAGGTTGCAGTACATAGACTTAACGTAAAACTGAAAGCAAGGCCTGTGAAGCAAAGGAAGAGGCAGTTTGCACCGGAAAGACGAGAAGTCATAAAAGAGGAGATTGCCAAACTTGTTAACGCACATTTCGTTCGAGAGGTACAATATCCTGAATGGCTTGCCAATGTAGTTCTTGTCAAGAAAGCTAATGGAAAGTGGCGAGTTTGCATTGACTTCACATATCTGAATAAAGCATGCCCCAAAGACAGTTATCCCCTACCTCGAATTGACAATCTCGTAGATAGCATGTCAGGTCATATGCTGTAAAGCTTCTTAGATGCTTTCTCGGGGTATCATCAAATTCTCATGGCAGAAGAAGATCAAGAGAAGACCTTGTTCATGGCAGATTCAGCCATCTACTGCTACAGGGTCATGCCGTTTGGACTGAAGAATGCTGGAGCAACATATCAAAGGTTAGTAAACAAGATCTTCGCCAAGCTAATTAGGAAAACGGTCGAAGCATATGTGGATGATATGATGGTCAAGAGCAAACAGTTGAATAGCCATGTTTTTGATCTAGAGGAAGTGTTTGCTACGTTACGGAGGTACAACATGAAGCTCAACCTGGCAAAATGTGCATTTGGGGTGGCATCTGGAAAATTCTAGGGTTTTATGATCACACACAGAGGAATAGAGGCAAATTTCGATAAAATCCAAGCTCTGATAAGTATGGAGGCCCCTAAGTGCAAAAGGGAAATTCAGAAGTTGACAGGCCGTATAGCAGCACTAAATAGGTTTGTTTCCCGGGCAGCTGACAGACGTTCCCCCTTTTTCAAACTACTTAAGGGAAATAAAGGGTTCGACTAGAACAAGGAATGCAACTTAGCTTTTCAAGAGCTTAAACATACATTATCAACGCCTCTAGTCCTTACTAAACCCGAACCCGGTGACATGCTGTTATTATACTTGGCCGTTTCTCAGAATGCAGTAAGCGGTGTCTTGGTAAAGGAAAAAGGAAGAGTTCAACAACCTATCTACTATGTAAGTAAAGTGCTCCTCGATGCAGAAACACGATACACACTTGCGGAACAGCTCGCCCTTACTTTAGTAATAGCTGCCAAAAAATTACGGCCATACTTCCAGTCACATCCAATTGTTGTGCTCACCAACCAACCTCTCAGACATATACTTCAGAAGCCGGACGTCTCAGGAAGACTACTGAAATGGGCAATTGAACTCGGCGAATTTGACATAGAATTCAAGCCACAACCTGCAATCAAGGCCCAAGCTTTAGCCGACTTAGCAGAGCTTACTCCAAGATCCTCAGAAACACCGGTTAGGGACCTGAACTCGACCTCAGAAATATGGGAAATTTTTGTTGACGGAGCATCCAATAGCCCGAGCTCGGGGGCCGGTGTTATCATTACAAGTCCGGACAAGATTACGGAGATACAATGCGCTCTCAGATTTAAAGTCCAAGCTACCAATAACGAAGCAGAGTACGAAGCCGTTGTTATAGCCCTCGAACTCATGAAAAATCTTGAGTGCGAGCGCGTTAAAGTTTTCAGTGACTCACAGCTAGTGGTCGGGCAAATCAAGGGGTCTTTCGAAAGAAAGGATGAAAAAATGAGCTTATATTGTTTGAAAGTACATGACCTCCAGAGGCAGTTCATAAGTTGTGAAATTCTGAAGGTAGCCAGAGCCGAAAATGCCAAGGCCGATGCATTATCCAGACTCGTCTTCATAGGTGTTGAAGAGCTCGATAGAACCGTGCACATCAAGATGGTTGCAGAACCAAGTATAGCCTAGAAGCCAAGTATCATGGACATCGACCATGAGCCCTCCTAGATGGATCCAATAGTTGATTACATAAGTAATGACAACATTCTTGCAGACCCTCGACTTGCCCGAAGCATTCGGTATAGAGCTGATAGATATTGTATAATCGAAGGAGTCCTGTTTCGTAAAAGTCTCACACTTCCTTATCTAAGATGTCTCAGACCCTCCGAGTCTCTTCAAGCAATGACTGAAATTCACGAAGGCATTGTGGAAATCACCATGGAGCCCAAGCTCTTGCATATAAGTTGATAAGGTATGGATACTACAAGCCAAGTCTGAAGAAAGATGCCACAGATTATGTCCGGAAGTGCGACAAGTGCCAAAAGTTTGGCCACATCATACATACTCCTGCTGAAGAACTAACATCCACTCACTACTCAGCTCCTTTCGAGCAATGGGGAGTTGATATTCTTGGGCCTTTCCCCTTGGCCCGAGGACAATTAAAATTTGTAGCTGTGGCAGTGGAGTATTTTACAAAGTAGGTAGAAGCCGAACCTCTAGCAACAATTTCAGAGCCGAAGCTCAGGTCATTCATATGGAAGTCCATCATATGCAGATTTGGGATACCAAAAGTCCTCATCATAGATAATGAAAGGCAATTCGACAATCCCCAGTTCAAGAACTTCTGCGCCAGCAATAGGATTGATCATCGCCTGACCTCGGTCTCACACCTACAAAGTAATGGGTTAGCCGAAGTAACTAATCGAATCATATTACAGGACCTCCGAACAAGGATAGGGGACGCCAAGGGTGACTGGCCTGACATGCTGCCTTCGATACTATGGGCATATAGGACTTCGCACAAGACAGCAACTGGTGAAATGCCATTCATGCTTGCTTTCGGACTTGAGGCTACCATTCCAATCGAGGTTAGCCTCCCCACAATAAGAAAGCTCAAGACAAATAAAGAGACGCAAACTACCGAGCACCTCGACTTACTTGAAGAGGTAAGGGAGCAAGCTTCCCTTAGGACTACAAGTTACCAAAACAGAACGGCAAAGCACTTCAACAAAAAGGCCCAGACCAGAAGATTTAGAGTCGGCGATCTTGTTCTTAGGAAAGCAGAAGCGGCCGTACACCAACCAGGGAAACTTGGGCCAACATGGGAGGGACCCTACGAGGTCATAAGAAAACTTAAAGGTGGAGCCTATAGCCTCAGAGATACATCGGGGAAACCACTCCCAAGGCCATGGAACGCCAATAATCTGAAAATATATTACAAGTGATTAGCTATAACTATAATTTTTGTTTAGGGCTTGCATGCCCACTTCATGTTTTCTTAATTTCGTTTTTTACTTTTCGGGCTCTAATGCCCCGTTAGCTCATGCTCGAATAAGCTCGGGCATCAAATGCCCTTAAGCATTTTTAATAGCATATAAGAAGTTTTCTTTATGATATTGATCCCCTATTAAATTAGCATAAGGCCGTGCCCCGCGCATACAGCTAATACTTTTACATAAATTAGCGTAAGGCCGTGTTCCACGCATGCAGCTAATACCTTTACTAAATTAGCGTAAGGTCGTGCCCCACGCATGCAGCTAATACCTTTATTAGATTAGCGTAAGGCCGTGCCCCGCTCATGCAGCTAATACTAAATTAGCGTAAGGCCGTACCCCGCTCATGCAGCTAATACCTTTACATATTCCACACACGACATCAAGCAGTAATAGGTCGGGCATAAAAGCCCAACCTCACCGATCCCAAAATGATGAGAAATGAAATAATCATCAGATCGAGTTCGGGACATGATAAAATTGCTCGCTTCTAATCTTCCCCGACCTCATCAGTCCCAAAATGCTCAACCAAGCATGAATTCTGAGATCGAGGTCGGGCCATGTTATAGTTGCCCCCAACAATACACGATCGAACTTAAAAATTGAGGTCTACCCTCGATATGAGCAAGAAATCAACTCAAATAAACACTAGTGCACGAACTAGTTGCCCCCAACAATACACCACTGAACTTGGAAATTAACGCCCCACGATCAGTATTGTTTAAAGGATCAATGTATCCATAGTTCGACAATAAGAAGTACACCCGAACTATTTCATACACATGAGCTATGAGTTTAAAGATTAGGACACGTGACATACACTAACAACCGAACTCTAAACTATAATGAAAACTCGAATTCAAAATTACAATACGCACAGGATCAACGCTCGATCTCATAGGAATAATAAAATGCATGAACTGATAAAATTCCCTCTCAAAGACAGAGGCCCAGTTCGGGCAATAAACTTTGCATTTAATCAAAATCAAAATAAGTACATAAGCCCAGATCGGGCAGACAACATTAGCAAAAAGAAAAAAAGTTACAAAAATGTCAGAATAGGGATTGGGGGATGGTCTAATCTAGGTCGATGGGGTCGCTCCTCCCTCCATTGTCAGGGGTCCCAGCATCGTCGCCATCATCATCCCCATCACCCTCAGAAGAGGATAGATCGAGATCCTTAGCAAGCTCATTCACAGTTTTTAATTCCTCCACTACGGGCTTCAAATTCTCGGGGAGCTTGGTCCTAAGGAATGACCGAGCTAGCCGCAACCCATAGTAATACGAGCCAAACCCGTACTGACCCAGGATAGTCTTGAACTCATCAGACTTTTTGAAGTCATCAACGGCCTGAGCTCGAGCTTCTGCTCGAACATTCGCAAGCTCCGTCTCAAAAGAGCTTTGGGACTGAATGAGCTCGAGCTTCGCCTCCTCAGCTTCGTCTCTTGCCAACCCAACCTTGTCCTCAACTTTCTTGAGGTCCACCTTAGCCGCCTCCAGGGCCTTTCAAGCTCCTGGGCCCTCTTAGACGCAACCTCGCTCTTAACCTCGAGCTCGGCTATGGGATCTGAGGAATTCAACCCCTTGAGTCCAAGACCCCAAGCTACGCTTAGTGTCTACAAAAACAAGTTTGGAGCCCGACGTTAGTGCAAATTAAGAAACCAGTCGAGGGTACCAGAGCATTCATATTAAAAATCGACCTTCAGTGTAAGGAGCTTGAGAGTCCGAACTCCTTCATTCATCTTGAACTCCTTCTCATACTTATCAACTATGCCCTGGATAAGAGCACAGTCGGCGTACTCCTCGAGCGACTTCGTGGGCATATGGTCGTCATCATCAGCTAAGAGGTCTGACCCATAACAAGGGGTACGAAATCAGACTTGTTGTTAAGGGATTGGCTGCCTTGAAGGGGTCGGGTTTTGTGAGCTCTGCCCTAAGTCCCCCATGGTTGGACGGGCGGCCTCCCGTGCCCGCTTCTTTCCCTTGGACGAGGTCGTCGTCGGGGCTTTAGACTTCGGGCCCTTTGCCTTTTTATGAACGTTGTCCAAGAGGGCTGACGGATCGAAAGACATCTCGAATTCTACAAGCAGAAATACAACAAGGCATTAGCTCGAACTATAGATCGATGTTTACACATGAAATATCAAAGATTGCATAAAAAGAAAGATCGTACACTCGAGGCCTTTCACGTTAGCAAGGTCAAGGGTGTTGTCTTCAAGCAAAAAATTGATCTTGTCTGCAAAGGGGTCGTGGTTCACTAACCTCAGCCCATCTTTCTCTAGAACCTCAAAATAGGCCTGACCTTCGTTAAACTTATCTTTATCGGAGATTTCCCACCTCAGGCTAAAGGGATGATCGAGGTCTTGAGGTTTCACCAAAAAGAAACGTTCCTTCCAACCTCTAAGTGAGCTCGGGGTATCAGGAGTTCTTAAAACCCCCCTCCCCTTGGTTGATAAATAAACAAAACAGTTATACCCCGGGGAGAATTTCATATCAAATACCATTCGAAGTAGGTCGACCCTAGGCTCAACCTCGAGGCACCTACATAGTTTGAACAAATACACCAATAACCTCCAACCGTTCGGAGCTAGTTGACCCGGACACAGGTAGTATGAGGTCAGAAAATGGATGAAAAATGGGTGAAGAGGCCACCTAAGCCCTGTCTTAAGAGCGTCCCTAAAAAAGGTCATCTCCCCCTCTCGAGCTCCTAACACGGTCTTAGTTGGCCCTAGAGTTCTAATGTCACAAATTGGCATGACCATGAACTCTCTAGCTATTTTAATAATTACATGTTCTTTGTACTTGGTCGGCTTCTTAAGGTCTGTCAGGACGTCGATATGGGAGTTAACAGGGATGGCCATAGGAATAATGGAAGTTTTTACATCTTCAGGCCTATCACTATGGTTCGAGTCCCTAGGAGCCTGGCTACTGTCACTACTACTCGACCCAGTACCATCACTACTCGACATTACACTAATAATCAAATAAAACAACTTAAAGGCTCGAACTTTTACCTCTGTGGATGATCGCTCACAAACCCCACTAATCCCCGAACTCGAGCTCGATTTACTGGGAAATGAGAGTGAAAAAGTGAAAAATGGGGGTGAAAGTTGGGGTATTTATAGGGGACTGAGGAAGACCAACGGTCATGCAATCTCAACCCTTGGACCAAGATACGTGGCGAGAATCTAAGGTCGTGCCTTAACATCACACGTGGCGACCATCTGAGATTTCTCTTTGACATCCCATCCAACACTCGACACGTGGTAAAACACCTGGACGTTCATGCCTCTACATCTTCGCTCGTAGATCAAGATGGGATGGAATCTACGACCTCGATGTATGGGGCCAATGATGATCCTAGATCTTGTCCATCACGAACTCCACCTTATAACCCCGATCTCAATACCCCCTAAAAACACCAAGACAAGGTCGGGCATTTGAGGTCGGGGTATGTATATTGACTCGACAGCTTTTCTATAAGACTTATGGGGACACTAATCCTTATCTGGTCACAATCCCTACCCTATTAGACTCCTTCTTTAACTCAAACAGTGACTTAAATACTTGAAGTGAAACACTAACTCCTTTTCCTACGAGGATAAGGATCGTGACAGAATAAGTCCTTTTAGGACTCCACCGTTGACATCTATAAATACCCAACCCGTGTTCATTCTTGATGTACGTTTTTTATTATCTTCATTTTATAGCCTCACGCACTAAATTCTCCATCTCACTTAAGTATCGGAGGGGCGACGAGCACACACCTTGTTGCCTTTGTTGCAGGTATTCACAGACCATTCGTGTTCATCAAAGTGAAATTCGTCCATCAAGCTCGAGTTCTTTCAGGTGATATTTTTTTGGTAGCATCATATATTATTCTTGTAACTAATATTTTTAGGTTAAAGTTAATTATTTTTCCTCGATGTAAAGTTGTGTTTTGTTGCAATTGTGCATTATTTATTTATTTATTTTTTTGCAGTTAAAACTTAAAAGACAATGCACGATCTAACGCGCCTTAAACCACAATAGTAGGCGGGATGCACGTGACTTCATAATATACATTTTAGCTGCTCCCTTTTTGTTTCATTCATTCCCATTCCCTATTCCCAAAAATCCTCCGCTAAAATAAAAATAGCTTTCTTTTTCTGACATGTATTTGTAACAGTCAACACTCTCACCGTCTCCTCAAGTCTTCCCCTCTCCCCCCGTCTCGCCCTCTCTCTCTCGGACATTATCCGAATTAAACAGGATTTTTTTTCTCTATATATATTTATATGTAATTTATAGATATATACGGCAATTTGTGTGGAGGTGGTTTAAGGTGGTGAATTTGAGAATTGAATTGAGGACAAATTGAAATTGAGCTAGGGTTTTGAAAGAGAGGAGAGAGGAAAAATGCCGATGAGTAGGTATGAGATAAGGAATGAGTACAGCTTGGCTGATCCAGAGCTGTACAGAGCCGCCGATAAGGATGATCCGGAGGCTCTGCTCGAAGGCGTTGCTATGGCTGGCCTAGTCGGCGTTCTCCGCCAGCTCGGTGACCTTGCTGAGTGAGTTCTTCTGTTTTAGTTTTTTGATTTTTTTTTTTTGATTTACTATTTTATGATTGTTTTGTTTTTTGAATTGTGGTAATTGCTGGTGAGATGTGTGGAATTAGGCTTTCTTGTGGATTATATTGCGATTTTGATGGTTGAGCAGTTTTTACTGTTGACAAGTGTGGGATCGAGATCTATTTGATTTTCGGATTTAGGTGTCTCTGAATTCTGGAAAACTGCGATGTAATGTTTTACCAGGCCTTCAAAACAATACGAGCTTGAGCTGGAGATTGTCTTTTTTATTTTTCTTTCTCCGAATTCCTGGAATTGATTAAAATCTTTTGATTGATTAGTAGTGTACACGAGGGATAGCAGCTTTGCTACAGTAATAAGTCTTATTGATTAATTACATTATAGATCTCCATGAAATTGCACTCTGGAACTGAAACTAGCCAAAAATGGAACCAAAATTGGGCAAAAAATCTCCTTCTATGATTTCAAGCTGTTTGTACCATGTCATCAAGTGCAGTGAGAACTATGTCTTAATCAGTCGATGGGGCTTTAAGAATCACTTTGTCTGCTAGATATGGAATCGTCAGGGAAGATGAGGATCACATTTAGTGTATCATATGATGTCTGTATTAAATTTGTGAAATTAGAGTGATCCAACTTTTACGAAAAGATTATTGCATTTTGTTAGCACCTTTATCCGTGTTTCTTATCAACGTTGATGAAACACAATTTTAAAACTTTTTCTGCATTAAATTTCTGTAACTTGTAATCCTTTAGCATCTGTCGCGATGCAATATTATTGTGCAGCTGATTACTAAGTTAATGTTGGTTGAGGATTCTGTCTTTGTGCTCTAGCCTTATTTTGCTGTTGTTTGGAAATGACAGTTTTCAAAATGTTTACCTTACTATCGAAGCAATTTATAGCGTATATTTTAAAAGATTGCTTTTGCAGTTATTGTTCTTTTTAATCTCTTTTTTCTAACTTTTTTAACAAGCCTGATACATCAATTCATTTTACACTGAATCTGCTATAACTTCTGTAGTTCATTAAGAATCAAACAACTTTTATCAAGGCCTTTTGTTTGTTAAGAAGGAAAAATTGGTATTCTTCGGGGAATTAATTTCTATAGGTTGTTTGGAAGAAAGTGACAGTTGAATTGCTTCTGGTTAGATGGTTCCCTCAGCCTCAGTTATCCTATCTGATCTTGTAATTTCTTTTCTTTTTTCCCCCCTTAACCAAAGGAATAATTTAACAATAAGCAGCAATTAAATTCTCTTTCCCATACTAGCCTGAGTATGAAGCATTTTTCTCTTAATTGCTCGTGTCTTGTAATTGCTGAAGGTTTGCTGCTGAAATTTTTCGTGATCTACATGAAGAAGTGATGGTGACTGCTGCCAGAGGCCATGGCTTAATGGTTCGCATCCAACAGCTTGAGGCTGAGGTTCCTTTGATTGAGAAGGCATTTCTCTCCCAAACCAATCATTCTTCGTTCTTCTATAATTCTGGTTAGAACTTTCTGTTGATTTATTATTCGGTTGAATGTGTTCCAAAACATCATTCTTATTATTTTTAGTCTGGAGTTTTTTAAATGGTGATCCTATATTCGTTTTTATTTAGGTAGAGATATGATACATAAAGTCTCAACTGGGAATTGTTGGGTTCTTCATCCTTTTAGGAATCTGTCTGTAGTTCACTTTCTAAATTAAGAATCTGTCTCGAGTTCATTTTCTAAATAACATGTTTGAAAGATGCCTCAAGTTGTTTGATGAATATCACAGTATTATTGGCTGAATAATTATATTGCAGGCGTTGATTGGCATCCTCATCAAAGGATGGACCAGAACCTAATCACACAGGGAGATTTACCTCGATTTATAATGGATTCATATGAAGAATGCAGGGGTCCACCCCGCTTATTCCTTCTAGACAAGTATGATCCTGTGTCTGTACAAGTAGTGTCCAGCAGTACTGAAATAATGTCTCTAAAAGTTAATGAAACCTGCTTATGAATTTAAAGCTCAGAATTTCATTTTTTCTTACAGGTTTGATGTTGCTGGTGCTGGGGCATGTTTAAAACGTTATACTGATCCTGCATTCTTTAAAGCAGAAGCACCATTCGCTGGAATGACGCGCACAGATGTTCAGAGGGAAAAGAAAACCCGCAAAGCAAAGGTAGTTCCTTGGCTATTGCAGCTTTCGGCACCTAGTATAATCCATTTATACTTGAGCAGAGTTATGCCCTCTACTTAGTGCCTGTTTGAGCCTCATTTTCCAAAAATTCATTTTTCTCCATTCCCATTTTCAACCACACATTCTCCCAATAAAATAATTTTGCACATAAATCCAAAATTTTTTCGTACTTTTTAATCACACGTTCTCCAAAAAAATCACTATTACAAAATCTATTCTCCCAAAAATGAGGCTCAAACAGAGCCGTGGATATTTTTCTTTTGTGGCAATGTTATTTGTTTATTTGTACGATTAAGATAGAAGCTATTAGAATAATTCTCTTTCTGATTATACAAAAGTAGAGAAGTTGCAATATAGTTTACATTGTATGAGCTATTGAGTGTATGGTATTACTGCATGTGTTCCACACAGGCCTATATTTGAAGGTTATACTATATCCGTTATCCTTGAAGTTTAATTATCCTCTTTCAGACTACTAAGTTGCTACCTGGAAACTGTCATTTTCACTGGTACAGTTCAAATCTTAGGAATATATACTATCCGATCATCTCGCCAATGAGGACACTATTCCTGTTAAATACCAATAAGTGCTATAATTTAACAGAGATAGTTTTATTCGTAAATTTTGAACTGAAATAATCCACATGGATCCTTGGATCAAGGTTTTATACTTTGCCTCTTCTTTTCAAGTTAAGATTTTCTTAACCTTGTAGTGTCTTTTCTTTTTGGTAATATTAATTTGGGCTGTTTAGTAAATAACATTTCGTATTATCTTTGACTTTACGCCTGCAATACCTGAACCCTTTTTATAACTTGAATTCATAGGGAACCATCAGTTAGAACTTAGAACCAGGCAATTGGCATGGTATGTGATGTGTAGAAACCTATCCCGCTTCTATATTTTACAAACATTTATTTTCTTACTTGAATTTGGAGCATTCTACAGCCATCAGTTTCTCGTATTCCTTACATAACTTTCCAGGTGGTCTGTTTATTTTCTCCCGTATTAATGTATGTTTCTTGTTTTTATGTCTAGCAGAAGAAAGGTCCACGCTGGAGGAATGGAGAAACCCCTGAGGTTGTTGTACCAACAACACATCCCAAGTAAGACTTTAATATCTCTATTTTCAGCTCTCTCTCTCTCTCTCTCTCTCTCTTTTAACTGTTATTATTATACACAACATGAGATCTGCATTATGACGAGTATCTTAACTTTTACAGACTGCATCAATTGTTTCTCGAGGAGCATATTAAGAATGGTGTTGGTAATCCTGCACGTCGAGTGAAATTGAAGAGGAAGCTGGATGGATTTCCGTTTAACTTGAAATCTGGGAAGAGCTACATGGAGAAGGTGTTGAATACCTCTTCCCCAGAACATAAAGTGGTTCATGAAGTCTCTGTGAGGTGGTCACCATTGAAATTACAAACAAATGATCCTAATGAAACTGGACCTAAGGTGCTAGAACTAAGAACAGTGAGTCCTGAAACAGAGAATATGGGAAGAGAAAAAAGTCCTCCATCTCGAGATAGAGAGGAAACTATGCTACAGAAATCCATATATGAGCCAAATGAAATTTCCACAGAAGATAAAATCCCAGAGGTGTCCAAACCCAATCCTAGTTATGAAGAAGATGGCAGCTCATCCGTTCTTCACAGAGTGACAAGTGAAAAGGATATAGCAGCCGATGAAGAAAGAGAAACCGGAGGCAGCTTAGATGGTTACCAATCTGATGATATTGCTAGTGAGAGAGAGAATTATGTTGATGCACCTTCAACAATGGATTCAGAAATGGATACAGATTCTGAAATAAGAGGCAAAAGTGATTTGGTCTCCTTGAATATCAAAAGGCAGCTGTCAATTTCTGATGCAAATGGAAAGCAGCTTCAAGCTCATTCTTCAGATTCTAAATCAGTTGCAACCTCCACTTTATCCAATGATGGGAACAATTCATCCAAAAAGGAGATATCTAGTTTTTCATTATCTGATACTCAAAGCACTTCAGCTGAAAACTCACCATCAGATCGTGATGCTTCTACTGAAGTCTTTCCATCGACTCATATTCCTGAAACTGATATCTTTGATGGATCATCCCACCAGCAAACTGGTCATGGAGATGATTCGGTTTCCCAAGATCCAAAACCTGTTGTTTCTGATGGTACATGTATCGGCATAGCTGAAATATCCAGCCACACTGACTTTGAGGATCTGATTTCTAGCTCATGTGCAACTGATGCAATCCCTACTTCAGTACATTTGGATTCAGAATCAGTTGTCGGAAAAGGTAGGTTCAGGGAGTCAGATGAAATGTCTTCTAGTTATAATGAAATCAGTAATGAATTAATAAATACAGAGCATGATGGGACAAGCATGATTACGAATTTGTCCTGTATTTACAGTATCCCTTCTGCAGCACTGCAGATAGGAGATGATTTCCCACCAAAACTATCTGCTGAAAATCATCCGACAGATGAATCAAATGGAAGTATAAGTGATTATGTACCCAGTATATCTATGGGCTCCGAAGTTCATTGTATTACTAGAGAAAATTCACAAATGTCTGGCACATACTTGCATAGGAATGATTCAAATAAGGAGGATCTAAATCTGGACGAGGACATAGATGATGATTTATATATGGTGTCTGCCAAAAAAACAGTTCCGTGCATATTAGTTGAGGAAGTTCCAAATTTACATGAAAACTGTAAGTGTGGTCATTCTGATACTATTTCTCAGCACAGTGATGGTTGCGTACCTATTGTGTCTGAAGAAAAACAGCTTGTGGATGAGCTGGACGATGGGAATCCAAATGTATTTTCTGATGCTTCAAATAATATATCATGCATCTTGGAGGCTGTTACTGAGAAGGCAAATGATGAAAATTCATTGCATAATATGGCTAAAACTGTTGGTGCAAATGACGATTACACTTGCACTTTAGTTGAAAATCAGATTGGTTCACCAGATTCGGTTTCACCCGATACAGAAGAAAACTCACTTTATTTGTCCCAGAAAGATTTTGAACTTCATGATGCTTGCGATATTATTATTCACGCCAAAGATACAATGGGTAATGAAATTCCAGTAATTGGAAATTCCAAATCTTGCAGTTCCGTAGGGTTGCAGGGCACAGGAATCGGAGGTGATGCTTACCATCTTGATTTAGCTGATGTGGAAAATTCACATTGTAGTGAGGAAAATCTTGATGAGCCTGTGACAACATCAAATAGTGTACAAGTGGATGAAATTAACCCATGCACTGATTTGATTGGAAATGATGCTACTGATATTACTCTATCTCCCGATCCTACATTGCTGAATGAGGTTCATGTACAGTTAGATGAAGTGGATTCTGAGGCAGATCAATCAGTTGCTGTAGTCATGGCTACTACTGACAATAATAGTAATATAGATGGCTTAAAAGTGGGTGAAATCAACCTGTCTACTGATTTAATTGGAAAGGGTGCTACTTGCATTACTTTCTCCCCTGATCCTACATCACTAAATGAGGTTCAAGTACAGTTAGATGAAATTGATTCTGTGGCAGATCAATCAGGTGCAATGGTCATGGATGCTGTTGCTGGCCCTGACAATGATAGTAATGATGATAATGTCTGCTCATCTGTGGATCTCAACAAGTTGCAGGAAGCATATGCTTGTTCTTCTGGGAATTTAGGTCAGAATGAATTCAAAATTGAAATGAAATGTCTGCCAGACAATCATAAGGACTCTGGGTTAGGAAAGGAAGTAGGCCAACAAGAAGCTGCCCCGTCAGGCTCGGACTCAGTTTTATGCAGCAGCCCTGTTGAATATGATCTTGTCAATGCTGCCCCAACTCAGTCATATTTGGAACAAAATGGCTTATTAGCCATAGAACAGGAATCTTGCAGGCAAGGTGGTCTCATAGATCATACTGAAGATGCTTCCACTTTACATGTCCATCATAATGCTGAAGAAACAATTGTAGAAGAGACTATCAAGTTACTTCCTAGTCAAAGTGATAAAGACGATTTTCAAGATACTGTTGAGGAAAACTTGGAGGAGGTACCACAATTGAAAGTTGTGCAGAATTTAGATCCCAATGATCCTGAAGGATCAAGCGATTCTGCTTCTAAATGTTTACTGGTGAACATTCAAAATCAACTTTCTATATCGGAGATTCCAGTACAGGGCAGCAATGATCTTAACGTGTCTGGATATCCCAAGGATCCATTAATTTTGACCCTTCCTCCTATTAACCTTCTTTCTGAGGCAAATCTGATCAATATGGAGGAATTGCCTCCACTGCCACCTCTCCCTCCCGTTCAGTGGAGGATGGGCAAGCTTCAGCACGCTTCTGCTTCAGAGAGAGTAGCAACACAACATAATGTTGGTCCATTCGTATCATCATTGCCAACGGTTGCTGACCGGAATGTTCAAAACCCAATTTTGCCAGTTTCAGCCGTGACACGTGCGGATTCACTTTCTTTACTGGAATATTCTTCTGCTAATATAATGCACTCTGCTTCACTCTCACAAGTGCCACATGGTGGTCATCCCAGCAATACTGAAAATAATCGTCTTGTGCTTGGTGGAAATCAATTGATGAGTTCATCCTTAATGTTGCCTGAAGGCCCCGAACAATATGATGAAATGCCACATGACAGTTTCCTTATGGGAAAGGGAAGTGTATTACAGTCTCGATTAACTTCATTCTGCCAAGAAACTTCTGTAGATACAGCATCCACTAATAACATTTGCTTGACACATGAATTGATCGGACCTTTGCATCAAGTGGCTGCAGAAATCAGTTCAAAGGAAGAGGTCACCCCAGAAATCAGTTCCTTCTGCCAAGAAACTTCTGTAGATACAGCATCCACTAATAACATTTGCTTGACACATGAATTGATCGGACCTTTGCATCAAGTGGCTGCAGAAATCAGTTCAAAGGAAGAGGTCACCCCAGAAATCAGTTCAAAGGAAGAGGTTGCCCCAGAAATCAGTTCAAAGGAAGAGAAGGTTGAACGCAGCTCTTCCAGTATGGAGGCAAACCCTACGAGGCCTGAAGAAGTTAAATTTTTACCAAAGATGCCCGTGCTTGTCATGCCATCTTCAGAGGGTGAAACCACATCACCAACTTTGGAAGATGGAATTGCAAATGGGAGTAGAACAATGAAGCAACCTAGACCTCGAAATCCTCTGATTGACGCTGTTGTGGCTCGTGATAGAAGCAAAGTAAGTATTCCAAGGTCCCTTGGCCTGTTAAAAAATAGATTGGGTTTAGTGAGATGCATCCTTCTGATAAGTTGAATTATTCTGCAGTTGAGGAAAGTGACAGAACGGATTAGGCCTGAGATACAGAAAGTTGATGAAAGAGATTCACTCTTGGAACAAATACGGACCAAGGTAAGAATAGACAAGCCTGGAGTATTTTCCGGTGTTTTTTTGATATGTACCCATTGTCATCTTGAGCAGATAATTAGATATTATCTTCATTTGTCAGTCATTCAACCTGAAACCTGCAGTCGCTAGTAGGCCTAGCATTCAGGGTCCTAATACCAATCTTAAAGTTGCTGCAATTTTGGAGAAAGCAAATGCCATTCGCCAGGTCTCTCTCTCTCTCTCTCTCTCTCACACACACACACACACAGAGCATGCTTGCAAATGTATACTTGTTTTGTGTTAATTATGGTGTATATTGATGAAATATTGTAGGCATTTACTGGAAGTGATGACGACGATGAAGATAGTTGGAGTGATTCATGAACAATCTTCCCTAAGCTGTAATTCCGGAATAGTGCAGCCATCTTGTCGACAATCTTGCGAGAGTTTGGTTGCCCACAAGGGAAAATATGGGGGATGTTATTGGAAAGTTAACGTGATTGTTATTTGAGAAATTCTGGTTGTATAGAATTTTTCCCACAAAAGAAATCCAGAAAAGTCACATGGGATAACCCATGCGAGTTTTATATTGAAAAAATATAACCACCCACGCCGGACTGTGTGTGGTCTGTTAGTTTTTAGGCAGATTATTTTCTGTACATGTAGTGCGCCTCTTTTTAGTTTATGTCTTCTGTTCTCTCTCTCTCTCTCTCTCTCTGATATAATGCAGCTCTTTGGTTGCTTCCCAACCAGGGTAATGTTCGGCTGAAATTTGTTGAAGCATATTTGAGGCCCGTTTGTATATAGAATAGTAATTCCTTTGCCTGTAAATGTTGGAGATATATGGTTGCAGTTGTTTTTTTCCCCCAAAATTTCATTTGTAAACGCATCACTACAATTTTGTTTTTGCTTTATACTGGGATGTTTCACATGCCTTAGCCAGATGTTATGGAGAGCTTGTAATTGAGAAATGAATTGCTTGGACCATCTTTTGACATGTTAAATCTCATTCTTTGTAGGTTTTACATGGTGAATATGTAATTTTAGTTCAGTTTGGTTTCTTTGAGAAGAGCTGAATAGCGGAATGATTTATTACGGAGCAAGCCAGTGATCAAGGTTGCTTTTTCTGGTTCTTTAAGGATTTAACAACTCGATGTTGCTTGCATGTACTGGATGACAAGCGACTGAAACTCCCTTTGGTCTCTGGCATTGTCAGAGTTTTTTTTCCTTGGGTTGTGTGCATGCAGTACTGTAATCCAGTTAGTATAATACTGAACTTAGGTATATGTCTTTAATTGGTCATTGAAATTTAAAACGTTGAGTTTTGGTAATTGAATTTAGATCAATATCTTCGATTACTCATTGAAGTTTAAAATGTCGAGTTTTGACCGTTGAACTTTGAAAAATGTTGTACAATACTTACTAAAAACTCGACATTTTTCAAATTTGAACATTTATACTAGTGAGCAACGTACAATATTTTTTAAAGTTCAGTATTTTAAATTTCAGTCAGTAATTGAAGACATGGACCTAAATTTAATGATCAAAATTTGACATTTTAAATTTCAGTGATTAATAAAAAATATAGACATAAGTTCAACGACCATTGAAACAATTAATTCAAAAAGGATAACTGCCCAACTATCATACCCGTGTAATGCCATTGGTTGTCATTTTCCGAAGTTAAGGTTCAAATTTGAAAGACGGTTTTAAAAATCAAATTAGAAGACAGTGAAATGAAGTATAGTTGGAACTTAAGATGATGGCGACAATGAATTGATGCATGATCTGATTCTTATGAATCTAGAAGTTCAAATTTTTCAGAGACACTGAGTCTTCATTTGGTCCTCATTAAATTACATTTTATTTTCTCCTCTCATATTTTTATTCATACAATCTTTTCTAAAATAACATTGAACGTAAATTGAAAACTTTTCCTTCTTTTTTAATCATTCATTTTTCGAAAAAATATTATTCAATCCACTTTTATTTCCAAAAAATGGGGCCAAACGCTGGCTGAGATACAAGTATAAAAGGGATATATTGAGATACAAGTATAAAATGGATATCTTGATATATCATAGAGTAACAATCCATAAAGTTTATATCACCAGTATTACATCATATTTTGTATTTGCTATCATTTGAGTAATACTAGGCCATGTTTGATTGGCTGTTATTTTTCATGAAAAATGGAATTCAAATTTCAACTTCTACTTTTTGGCTATTTGATAGTGTATATATATATATATATATTTTCTTGTTTTTCAAGGATGTTGCTGATTTTTTTTTGAAAATGAAAACAAATTCTATTCCTAATTGTAAAAAAATATTTTACAATTTTCATGTAAAACAAAGTCAAATAAATACCAAAAGATAGATGATTTTCTTGACTTTTTTTCTTTGGGCAATGTAAACAAATTCTATCCCCCAATGGTTATAATTCTATCCCTTTAATTGACAATTTTCATGTAAAACAAGTCAAATGAACACCAAAAAACACTTTTATTTTAACATTTTTCACGTAAAAAATTATATCAATCAAACACAATAATTGACAATTTTTAGTAAAATAATTTCTAAACAATTCAATTCCCTAAAATTTATTTTCTTTTCACTCAAATTTCATTTTTTCAATCAAATGACCCTTAATGTATCTTGTATTTTTTTCTGAATCCAGTAACAAAACGGAGAATATGCCTAATTAATAGGTGAGTCATTCTCGTCCTCAACAGTCGAATCCATTTTGACACGGCAATTACATTGTACTTAATTCGATGGTTATTTGAATTTTGCGGCGGCAAGGCGACGTCGCCTTCTTTTCTTTCTAACCATGAGTACAGTGTTGTTCAATCCCGCTTCTCCCATTGTCCCGCTTGCCTTAACTGAAATAAAAGCAGCTCTCTTTCAAGGCTTCACTTCCTTCAACCACCTCAAGCACATCCATGCACGCCTCTTTCGATTTCACCTCGATCACAATCACTATCTTTTGAACATGCTCTTAAAATCCACCTTCAACTTCAACCACCCAGATTACGCTACTGCTATTTTTACCAATACTTATGATCCGAATATTTTCTTATGGAACACTGTGATTCGTGGGTTGGTGTCAAGTGATTGTTTTTCTCAAGCGACTGAGTTTTTTAGTTTGATGCATAAGGATGGTTTTTTGCCGAATAATTTTACGTTTCCGTTTGTGCTCAAGTCTTGTGCAAGGAACTCAAATTTTGGACTAGGTATGAATGTTCATTCTCTCGCTGTGAAAGCGGGTTTTGATTGTGATGTGTTTGTGAACACTGGGTTGGTGTCCTTTTATGCGAAAGTGGGGAGTTTGGTGGATGCACAGAAAGTGTTTGATGATATTCCTGAAAAGAATGTGGTTTCTTGGACAGCAATAATAAGTGGTTATATTGGAGCTGGGAGGCTTACAGAGGCAGTTAATTTGTTTCGGAGGTCATTAAAGATGGGTCTGAGGCCGGATAGTTTTACTCTTGTTCGGGTTTTGTCGGCGTGTGGTCAATTAGGGGATTTGGGGGCCGCTGAGTGGATACATAGATGTGTACTGGACACTGGAATGGGGAGGAATGTCTTTGTGAACACCTCTTTAGTCGATATGTATGGCAAATGCGGAGACATGGAGAAGGCTCGTGCTGTTTTTGAAGATATGACTGAAAGGGATATTGTTTCTTGGAGTGCTATGATTCAGGGTTATGCTGCAAATGGNAATATCTACTCCGCTAACCATAAATGGGACAAGTCAGAAAAAATTAGGTCAGTTATGAATGAAAAAGGCGTTCAGAAAGTGCCCGGGTACAGTTGGATAGAAGTAGATGGAATTGTACACGAGTTTCTCGTTGGAGATACTTCCCATCCTATGTCAGTTAAGATATATGTTAAACTCAGAGAATTGGCCAAAGAGTTGAGAGCAGCAGGTTACACTCCAACAACTGAATTTGTTCTATTTGACATTGAAGACGAGGAGAAGGAGCATTTCCTTGGTTGTCATAGCGAGAAGCTTGCTCTTGCATTTGGCTTAATCAGTACTGAACCCGGAAATATAATCCGAATAGTTAAAAACCTCCGGGTTTGTGGCGACTGTCATACAGCAATCAAGCTCATCTCAAAGATATCGGGAAGAGAAATTATTGTGAGGGACACTAACCGTTTCCATTGTTTCGTTGATGGTTCATGCTCTTGTAGAGATTATTGGTGAGGCATATTTCGGATGTAGCTTTGAGGAAATATTTCTTCAAAATACCAAAAATTGGTGACTGACATACGTCTCTCAAGCTAATCTTGAAGATAACAAGCAGTGAAATTATCATGAGGGACACTAACTGTTCGATTGTTTGCTGATTGTTGTGTATGTGTAAGGATTATTTATTGGGGGTTTACATTTGCTGTTAAATTAAGACAATGGAGTACACATCTAAATGCAATTCTAGAAAAGCACGGTGAGATCATACAGTTACACAGGGATGCAGTTGCGATCAGGAAAAGCACAGTTATTCAGTAAAATGAGATAAAATTACCTCCTGACTGATTTAATACTCTCCCATCAATTGCGAACTTTGAGAGTTGGAAGTTAAGCCCCAGTGCAGGGTGCTTGTGTCGTTTGACAATGTCCCACGGATACTTCAGAAGGTACGTTGTATTGGGTTTCCACCTTCAACTTATACAGGCTAGCATACTTATCCCGATTGAGATGACAGGTGATGACTAGATTAGATTGGGATGTGCTATCTTGAGCATTCTTTTGATATTTGCCAATTCGTTATACCATCTTAGGGCTGCGGTAAAATTCAGATTGCACCAGTCAATCATCTAGAACGTGTTAAACAGTGCATGGGGCAATGAAGAATCTCAACTTGTTCGGTTGGAGTGCAGAACAGACCAGGATAACAGCTCTGTAGACTGACTCAGAATAGGATGGATTTTGTGACATCATTGCAACTCTGTGTCCTGTCTTGTATAATTGCCCCTGTTCAGTTTGCTGTTGCAAAATCGACTTGGTGTTCGTGATTATAATGTTTTAAAACACTAAAATGAGATTTATACATACCCAACTCGGTAGCAAAAATTTAGCAGCTTTCCTCTCAACTCAAACCAGCACAAAATGAGTTCTCACTTCTCACTAGGTGCCAAAATTCGCAATTACAAAAATATAACATATTCAACTCTAACTAACATAAAAATAACATTTATTAGTGACATGGCATACATGGATTTCTAAACAAAAAATTAACTTCCACTGTGATGCAATTCCTAAATGGTAAATAGTTCAGCACCAAACAAGTAATTTTCGAATTTTAAATATGTAATATATTACACTTGTTAAGATTTATCTCTTTACATTACATAATGCTGAAAAGACAAGAAATTTGTTAATAATAAAAAGTGACATGACACCTTTTTTTATCAACTTATAAGAATTTGTGGGGAAGCGTTATTTTCTAGAGGTTATGTGAGATTGGAGTGTATTGTGAGTATGAATTGGTTGTCCTTAGCGTTTGAAATCTCTCAATTCGTGTCATTTTTTTGAAATGGATCCTTTTTATAGAAAAAGATTTCCCTTTTATCGTTCCTATCACATGCAATGTTTTACCTTTGGAATGTGCACTTCTCAAGCAACAATAGTACTAAGATTGGGAATGATGGGCAGCACAATAATCTCATGCTGACCTATAGACTAGTGAAAAGAGGAGGTTCCAAGAAATATTAGATTTAATAACAATAAAATGTGCAGCACTCAAAGATTGAAACACAAGAAAAAAAGGGGATCTCATTAAAATGCCCCAAGGTAGTAACAATTCGAAGAATCTTGCAAAAATATAGGTGCTTCTTTCTCCAGGAAACCCACTGTGAGTGTTGATCTCAAACTAAGGCTTAGAAATCAGGGTGTTTTCTCACTCAGACCAGAATCACCTAAGATCACAGAAGATTCGATCTTCTCACTTCAGAAAAATGGTTCACACAAGAACACACAATACTTTTCAGAAAGAATCACTCAAGATTTCAAAACCAGATTTGAGAAAGTGTTGAAAATCAAATAAGATCTTTGATTTTAAGAGAGAAGAAGAAGATGAACTCGAACGGCCAGAGTATAGAGAGATGTCTTTTGAAAACTAGAAAAATTCATGCATTTCAATCTTAGGGCTTCCTTTTATATGAGTCACCAAATGGTCAGCCATCTAATGGACATGGGGTTGACACATGGTATCATCATGGGCGTCCATTAGAAGAAACACGATTTTATAAATTGAAATTGTGTTTTTAACAGACTAGCTAACCCTTTAAAATCAATAAGGAAAAGTCAGCTGGTCAACTCACAAAATTGTATCATTGTGCCACAACCTTTCAATCTCCACTTTGGTACAATGATCCACATTCACTCAACAGTGTGGTTGCTTCCAGTTTTAAGACATCATTAGCATTCATATCAGATACTCAAATCAGCATGCAGTGATGTTCAACAGGTTCAAGCTGTCTGAGAACTTGTTAAGGGGTAGCACCGTTGTACCTGCATCAGCAGGGTTAAAATTAGTAGAAATATTTTCAAGTTTCACAACTCCTTGTGAAATTATATCCCTTATAAAGTGAAATCTAACATCAACATATTTAGATCTATTATGCAAGACTGGATTTCTACTTAAATGAATGGGTGACTGACTATCAGAATAAAGAACTACTTCCTTAACAAAGCCAAATTCATTTGATAACCCTTTCAACCATATTCCTTCTTTTATAGCATCTGTTGCAGCAATATATTCAGTTTCGTTAGAAGATAATGCAACTATCGTTTGAAGTTGGGATTTTCAGCTAATGCAAGAATTACACAAAGTATACATATAGGTTGAAGTGGACTTCCTATTGTCTCTGTCGCTAGCATAGTCTGAATTAGTATAACCTCTCAATACAACACCTTCAGTTTGTTTTCTGAACTGAATTCCAAAATCTGATGTACTCTTAATGTATCTAAAAAGTCATTTCATGGCTTCCTAATGAGCTTCACCTGGATTTGAAATATATCTACTTAAGACACTTATAGAATATGCCTAATTTGGCCTAGAACCGACCATGAGGTACATGACAGACCCAACTGCGTTAGAATATGACACTCTTGCCATCCTTTCAAATTCTTCTTTAGATTTAGGACATTGTTCATTTGAGAGTTTAAAATGATTTGCCAAAGGCAAACTTACACTTTTGGAATCAGACATAAAGAATTTATTTAGCAATTTCAACATATATGACTTTTGGCTGAGACTTAGTGTGCTTTATCTCCTATTTCTTTTAACTTCAATACCTAAAATCCTTCTCACGGGACCTAAGTCCTTCATTTCAAATTCAGATTTTAGTTTATTTTTGATATCTTCTATCTCCTTTATGTTATGACTTGCCAATAACATGTCATCCACATAAAGGAGTAGATAGAGGGAATTTTCTACACCATTTCTTTTACAATATAGGCAGTTATCAAAGTTACTTCTCTTAAAACCAAGTCCAAGTACAAAGTTGTCAAATTTTTTATACCATTGTCTTGAAGTTTGTTTTAAGCCATATAAGAATTTTTTAAGAGGGCAAACTAAGTCAGATTCCTGGTTTACCTCAAATCCTTTAGGTTGTTTCATGTAAATGATTTCATCTAGATCACCATTTAAAAAAACTATTTTTACATCTAGTTGATCTAGTTCCTAGTTAAACTGTGTGGCTAAGGCCAAAATAACCTTAACAGTAGTAAATTTTACAACAGATGAGAAGATTTCATTGAAATCTACTCCTTCGTTTTGGGTAAAACCCTTAGCCACTAGTCTAGCTTCGTATCTTATATCATTTTCACTTTGTTGACCTCTTTTAATTTTGAAAATCCATTTACAGTCAACAACCCTTTTTCCTTCTGGTCTTTTTCCAAAACCCAAGTTTTGTTCTTTTTAAGTGATTGCATTTCACCCTGCATTGTTGCAAGCCATTCCTTAGAGTCTTTAATATTTATGGCTTCCTCAAAGGACTCGAGCTCATTCTCAATCATACTTCGATAACATAGCAAAGATACATCTTCATCAAACCTAACAGGAGGCCTTATTCGTCTTCTTTACCTATCTCTAGCAAGTTGATAATCATCTAAAGGTTGACCAGATTCTAATTTAGCTTCAGATTCATCATCAGGAGCACCATCACCATGTATCTCCTCATTTTCCTCATCAGATTGTGTAGCATTCTGATGATTTTCGTCATCAAATTGCTCCACCTTAATTTCAACCCCTTTTTCCACACTTTCATCCTGACTTAAGGGCTCTATTTTGTTTTCAAATTTAAGGCAAGGTAGATCATCTTCATTAAACACCACATTCCTATTAATTATGATCTTATAGCCTTTGTTTTCCCTTACCCATAGCCTATACCCTTTCACCGCTTAACCATAGCCCAAGAATACACATTTAAGGGCCCTATGTTCTAATTTTCCTTCAAATTGGTGTGCAAAGGCTGCACAACCAAATACCCTCAAGTTAGACTGAAGTCTACTGGTTTTCCACTTCACATCTCTTCAGGGGTTTTAAAGTGTATAGCACTAGAAAGGCTACTATTAATCAGATAACTAGCAGTTTTAACAGCTTCCCCCTAAAAAATCTTAGGCAGGCCTAAACTTAAGAGCATATATCTCACTTTTTCAAGAATTGTTCTATTAATTCTTTTTGCCAAACCATTTTGTTGTGGGGTGTGTGCTACTGTTCGATGTCTTAATATACCAGAGAATTTGCACAACTCATCAAATTCAAGATTGAAAAATTCCAAATCATTTTCAGTTCTTAAGACCTTAATATTTTTGTCAGTTTGGTTTTCAATCAAAGTTTTCTAGTCCTTGAAAACACCATAAGTATCAGATTTTGATTTTAAAAGAAAAGTCCATTTTTTTCTAAAAAGATCATCAATAATTGACAGGAAATATTTAAAACCAGTATGAGTTGTTACAGAAGCTGGTCTCCAAAGATCAGCACGCAAATATTCAAGTATAGACACATATTTAAGCATTCTAGGCAAGAAAGGTAATCTGTTATGTTTTCCAAGAATGCAAGTCACAAAAACTGAGTTTTCCTATGTTTTCCTTTCCAAAGGCACCCTGGATTTTCAAGATCTGTAGTCCTCTGTCACTAATATGGCCCAATCTTTTATGCCATATATGTTTCTTATCATTTTGGACTGAGATTACTGATGATGTGGACTCTAAAAAATTTTCAATTTGTAAAATGTATAGGCCATGTCTCTTTGGGGCTTCAATAATTACTTGTGTACTCCTTAAGATTTTAATGTATCCCTTATTAATCAATATGTCATATTTTAGGTCATCTAGAACCCCTAAGGAAATAAGATTTCTTTGTAAATCAGGAACATATCTAGTCTTTTCCAAAACCAGTTTATTATTTCCTTTTACTTTCAAAGTGATTGTTCTTATTCCTTTAACCTGACATGTCATGTGATTACCCATTAACACCTTACCGCCATTTACATTTTCAAACTCAGTAAACCATTCTTTGTTTGGACAAATATGGTAGGTGCAGCCCGAGTCAAGAATCCACTCTTGACAAGGTGGACAGTTTATAGCTACATAAACTTCATCAGTTAAGGTCTCATTATTGTAGGCTAAGGTTGCACCACCATCATCTTTTGATTTATTTTTCAAATCACTAAGTCTTTTGGAACAATTTTTTATAAAATGACCCTCACTAAGAAAATAGAAAAACTTCTTTCCTTTAGTCTTCATTTTCATTTTATCCTTAGGATTTGCCTTTTCTTGTGTCCAGATTTTTTGTTAAAGTTCACAATCTTAGGATTAGACTTAGTTTTAGCCATCAAGTTCTCCCCATTGATAGATTCTCTCTTGTCGGACTTTAACTCTAACTCCTTATTTCTTAAAGCATTAATAATTACATAAGTGGTTAGAGTTTCCCTCCCATTTTCAATTGCACTTTTAACATCTTTATACTTATCACCAATTGAATTTAGCAAGACCACAGCCAACTGATCTTTTGAGAGTTTCTCATCACAATCGGCTAGATCACGGGATAGTTTATTAAATCTATCAATATTAGCCTCAAGATCAAGTGACGGGTCAGTTTACAACCAAAAAATTGTTTCAGAAGATACACTTTATTAAGCATTGATTTGTTCAAGTATGTATCTTCCAATTTTTTCCACAGCTCAGCAGCAGTCGTAGTCTCATCAATTTCTCAAGTACATTCTCAGATAAATGCAGAAAAATTGAACTCCAGGCAGTTTCATCAAGTTCAATTTTCTTGGTTTCTTCTAAATCATCAGGCCATGTTTCATCAATGGCTTTAGCACATTTTTGTTGTAACAAAATTGCCCTCATTTTCTGGCGCCAAAGATTGAAGTCTCTTTTGCCATTAAAAACATCCAATTCAAAATTTGTATTTGTCATTTTTAGAAAAAAAAAAAAATTGAATGCATATACGGTATAAGCAAATCAAGAAGACATTGCACAAAAAAAAAAAAAAATTTACAACTTAAAGAACAACTCAAGTATCACCACACAGAAGATATTGAATATACAGTAATTACAAGTTGTAAAGAACTTCAATTATTTCATAGGATTTGTTCAAAGTCTTATAGTCACAAAGTGTTTTTCTCAACACAAATCACATTTAAGTTGCAAGCACCGAGATTATACACCAAAAAATATCACAATAGTATATGAATATCGAGACCTTTGACTTAAGTCAAGGTAACCCTCAGATTCTAGACAACTCTAGGGTTTTTGGACAAAGGAATTGCCCAACCAGCCGCAGATCAAGAGTTTAAATCACAGTTGCAGCAAGCTTAAAGTGTTTATACAATTAATTTGTAATATTAATCGAAAAACCAGAACAATCTCACTAGATCCCTTCAATAGGGTTTCAAGAAATAACAAAGGTTAGGTAAAAAACGAGTGTCACAGTTTCAGATCTACACAGATCAAAGCCAAGAACCTCCGTCCAACCGCTCTGATACCACTGAAAAAGAGAAGTTTCCAAGAAATATTTGATTGAATAGCAATAAAATGTGCAGTAATCAAAGATTGAAACACAAGAAAAAGGGGATCTCATTAAAATTCCCTAAGGCAGTAACAATTCGAAGAATCTCGCAAAAATATAGGTCCTTCTTTCTCCAGGAAACCCGCTGTGAGTGTTGATCTCAAACTAAGGCTTAGAAATCAGGGTGTTTTCACACTCAGACTAGAATCACCTAAGATCACAGAAGATTCGATCTTCTCACTTCAGAAAAATGGTTCACACAAGAACACACAATACTTCTCAGAAAGAATCACTCAAGATTTCAAAACCAGATTTGAGAAAGTGTTGAAAATCAAATAAGATCTTTGATTTTCAGAGAGAAGAAGAAGATGAACTCGAACGGCCAGAGTATAGAGAAAAGTCTCTAGAAAATCAGAAAAATTCATGCATTTCAACCCTAGGGCTCCCTTTATATGAGTCACCAAATGGTCAGCCATCCAATGGATATGGGGTTGACACATGACATCATCATAGGCATCCATTAGAAGAAACACGATTTTATAAATTGAAATTGTGTTTTTAACAGACCAGCTAACTCTTTAAAATCAACAAGGAAAAGTTAGCTGGTCAATTCACACAATTGCATCATTGTGCCACAACCTTTCAACTAGCATCCGATCATACTTTGTTTTGTCAAAGATTATGATGGGTCATTTGAGCGGTGTTGACGCAGCTAAGGGACAAACCATCATGAAGGTAACGATTATTTTTTCTTAAATACTACTCTGATGGAAATAATAACTTTTTGACTTATTTTTAATTTAAATGTTATTTTCTTCATTTTGACACTAGTTTCCCTTTATGAGTTTGGCACATTTACCTCTTGCCCTATCCTTTCGAGGTTGAGGAACCACTTGTCTGCATCACGCCGCATCCTAAATGTACCCTAAAGCTTGCAACTCATTTTAGGGGTGTAACAAAATTCAGTTTATAGGCGTTGCAAAGAGTAATTTATACATTCAATTTTGCAAATGAAGAAGAGCCCACAATATGATCCCTGAAAAAAGTATATCAGATATTTCTGGATCATGGTAAAGAATAAAAAAAGTTCAAATCCCATTTGTTATATTGTTTAACATAGCTTTTTTAATACTTATGCAATAAAATAGCAATCCTTTAATATGCATATTAAAATTTTTCTTTCAGGTAAAAAGCAAGAGGTCTTCAAACTTTGACGCTTGTTCCAACTTGATCCCCATTCTTCAAACGAAGTATTTACATTCTCAATCTTTCATTTAAGTAGCAATTAGCTCCTTAGTGGATAATTTTATTTTACCTTTAGTTAACCACCTACAACTTTATTATAGTACAGTTTTACCCTTATCTGCAAATAAAAATAGAGTACATGAATTGGGTGGGGGGGGGGGGGGCAGGGGGGGACTTCTTGCCAAAGCCCACATCAAGGTGATTGACGGTGATTGATGATAGTTGTTATTGTTTTAACTAATTGTTCGTGCATTGGGTTGGTGGGGGTGGGAGGACGGGACGGAGTGAAGTGGAGAAGAAAAAGAATTTTTTTTCCATTTTCTTTCATTCTTAACTCCTATTTTTGTTTATTCACGAAGAAGGATAATACCATTTTTAAATAAAATTTTAGAATGTTAATTGAATACAAGGCTAAAACTATTTGAAAATGACTTACACATTAACACTAATATTTTTTTGTTAGGCGCACTATTAATTATGTAAAAGTTCCTTAATCTTTTTCTTATTGTCATACTTATATCTCTAACTTTTTGACATTGCATTCTTATCATCGACGTTACATTAATTAGCACATCTTGTCATTAACGATGGTTCCCATTAATCTAGAATTCCAGAAAGATGGTCAAATTGACTTTTTTACCCCTCATAATCATAAATAAGCTCAAAAAACAACAAATACAAAATTGTTAAGAACGTTAATAAATTTTCTCGAAAAAAAAAATCATTATTAGAGATAAAATTTAAGAATAAAAATGCGATGAAAATAAACTTAAGAACATAAATATAACATTACCAATAAATAACGATCAAAACTTTAAAGTACAATTAATTTATAGTACATTTATTAAAAAGTGTAGTGTGAACTTAATTATCCTTTAGAATACTGGGGACCTCTTTGCTATTTTCCCTTTACGGAAATTTACAAGAACATGCACAACCCCGCAAACCGCTCCAATCTGAATGGGGAGGTCCACTTTACAGGTCAATAGAGTGGCTACCACGTCGGTAATACGACGTCGTATGATTCTCCGTCAAGATGCAAAAACAAAAAACCATTCCCCGTTTCAAAAACGACCCAGTTTCGCCGATATTTACATATAAAAAAATTGTATCTATAGAACTAATCATAAAAAAAATCCCAGATAAGCACAAAAGTTTGTACAGATATAATGATAATTAACTATTTTTCTTTTTTATTATGGGAAGATTAGTACTCACAATATCATCCTCAACAACACCGCAGCTTCACCACCATCATAACCCTCCACCGAACTGGCGGCGGCCGAAATCGAATAAGAACGGGATAAAGGAAGAGAAGATGATGGGACAAGAAGGGGAGAGCAGTAATGGAGAGACCAACAAGCTACGGCGGCTGCCGCTGTCGGAAGTGGTGGGGGACTGTGTAAGGAGGTGGTTCCGTGATACTCTCAACGAAGCTAGAGCTGGGGATATCAATATGCAGGTCCTCGTAGGCCAGATGTATTATAGTGGCTATGGTGTCCCTAGAGATGCCCAAAAGGTTTTTTTTTTTTTTTTTCCCCCTTTAATTTTGCTTGGTCCATAGTTTTCCTTTTTTTTGTTGTTATTGTGATTTAGAGTGAATAAGAACGTCTATATGATTATTTGTAGCTGTATCGTTACTGTGGATTTTTTCCAGATTGATTGCTTTTATATGTTTGATTGGCTTGTATTATTGGATGCTCTTTAATGTTATTTTTAACTTTTGACAATTGCCTGATTTTAAGTATTAGTTCTTGGAATGGAATTTTAGGGAAGGATTTGGATGTCAAGAGCCTCGAGAGTTAGATCTTCAGTTTGGAAAGTCAGCAATAAGCGCCCAGGTAAAACTCTTCCGCCATCACCACTCCCTCAGCGCACGAGTATGTGAGTGCCTGGGTGATTGTTACATATTTTCCATTCCCTGACGTAACAAAGTCCCTGTGTGGAAATAAATTTTGCAGGTTACAATGCAAGTGACTCTGATTCAGATGAGTTGATAGCTGGCTCTTGAATAGGTTTGTTATGTTTGCCGAGTTGGCATTTTCATCTCTCTATTTTTGCTGCATTTAACTTAGGATTGCCTTGATTCTCGACTTAAGGTCTTACATTTTTTGCTATTAAAGTGTTTTAATTATGCATCTTGGGTTATATTCTCTGCATTCTCATTAAGTAAATAGAGAACATAAGTTTTGAATCTAATTGATGAGCATCCACATTGTCTACCCTTGTTAGAATCAGATTGTGTGACTTTGCTTTGACTCTTCTTAGGGTGGTTTAGTTTGACATAATGCTTCAGCATTTCTTGGGAAATAGTTTTACTCTGAGGTCTTTATTGATTATTAACTGATAGCTTTTACTTTGATAGATTTATTCTTGATATTGTTTTAATTCTCAAGCACCAACATACTTGTCTGGTCTTGTGTCTTCATCTGTAAGACTTTGACCCACCCAACCATCTAGTTGGTATAGAAATCTTTTTGTTTCACTCGCTCTAGCTGATTCGTTCAGGATTTTCCTACCCAATTGCATAGAATTATCTGTTGAGCACAATGATAGAAGAGAACTAGTCAATCTAAATACCTGAACTGATATATTTCTTTTTACAGCAGTAATCTTTCCACCGTTTCTGAATTTTTTAGTAATTAATGCCCTTTGTAGTATTACGTCTTAAGAGTCCCAACCGAGGTTTTATATTTTTCTTTCACTTTCTTATGTCCATTGAATGATCATTCAAAGTATGATATGTGGGAACATAGAGACAAAATGCTAGGAGTCTGTCAGACAATTTTCTTTGGGAATAAACAGTAGTTTGACAATTCTTCTCTAGTAGATTTTCTGTGTGGCCTAATAACAATGAGAAAGAACAAAGGGCCTGTTTAATGTGAGAAGTGATTTTATTATTATTATTATTATTATTTTTTATTATTTTTTTTTTGGGTAGAATTTGTGGTTAAAAAGTACGGAAACGATATGGATTCATGTGCAAAATTATCTTATGGAGAGAATGTGTGTTAGAAAATTAGTTCGGGAAAAAATGAGTTTTAAAGAATCTGTACCAAAGGGGCAGAAGATGTTCCCATATGAAGTTAATTCTGAAGACAATTTGCTTACTGCTGCTAAATATCAGTTGAAATAATAATGTGGGATCCTTTTTAGGATAGCAAACTTTCTTTTCTGAAACATCGTAAATAGAAAGAAAGATGTCCTCTGTGGGATGGAAGGATAGTTTTGTAGTCTTTATTATCATTTTGGATAAGAGTACAAAATTGCAGAGGGTTCAAATGTAAGTCGAGAGAAGATGGTTCCATGGGGTACTTCCTCTTACTTGCATTATAATCTTTAGTTCTTTACCATTATTTTGCTAGCTTTTCATTTTCTATTTGTTTATTCTTTTTCATCACTTCATTCCATATAACTACCTTAATTCTCTCTTAAATGCGCTCTGTAAGCTGTTTACATATATCACTATCTGGTGGCAAGAGATTGCTCCTGGCATCGTTTCCTATGATTGGCTAATCAGCATCTCACTCTCTTGCGTAGGGTTCTTTGCAATTTGTGCGCTGAGAATTGCCTTGTGACGGTACCATCCTTTTATTGCTAAATCTTTTCTATTTTCCCTGCTTATCACTGTACATCATGGTTGAATGTAATGTACAAATTATAATCCTTAGAGATGAATATGATGTGTGGCTAAATTATTCTTTCTAGTCCAAGATATCAGTGTGCACTTGTTTGTATCTCATACATTCTTATGTCATGTTCACTAAATAACTAGTTGGAATTAATTCCCCAAACCAAATAATGCTTTGAATGTTGGTCTACAGTTAACTTCTGAGGTTGTCTATCGAGCTTCCTATTCCTCTTTAAGGAATGAAACACTCACTCCATGATTCTTATATAAGTGGGCTGTTAAGGCCCGATAAATGGCAGAGGTTGAACTGAGCCCTCCCAAGCCATATGATAATGTCTTAGGGTAGTTTATGGTCGAAACGTGGGCTTTCACCTTCCACAATTTTGTTAAAAGACTAGGGGAAGGGATAATTTCGCATCTAGTTTAGGAATACAATTTCAAAATCAATAAACTTATAAAAACTTTCAAAGACAAGTGGTACGTGACTTGACTTGTTTTGATAAATGATCGTGACCTATAATTACGATGTTTGATTGTGATATATATATATTTTTTTATATGTAACCAATTGATTTTTGAAAGAAGAAAAAGTTTGTACTTGAATAATGAAATTAAAACTCAAAAAATATGGTTTCGGATAACTTTCTTTTGAGAGAAATCTTTTGGAGTGGACATAGTGAAGGTTGACCTGTAATATTTAGGGGGATTTGATAAAAAAAAGCCTAGCCAAATAATGATATTGATAAAATAACCTTCATTCAATGTTTTTTGGTCAAATGACATTTACTTACGAAATACAATAAACAAATAATGTCAATTATCTAAAATGTCTTCACCATGAAAAATACTCAAATACCTCTTTCAATTCAATTAAATCCCTCAATTCATCTACAAAACGCATCAACGTACTTTCCCAGTGGTTTCTTCCCTAAAATCTTGTTATTTATTGTATTATTCTTCTATCTTCTCCAATATTGTAAGCATTTGAATAAGAATTTTGGTATTCATATTATCTACATTGAATCTCTACTATATTTAAAGAAAAAAGAAAAGTATTTTTAGAAATCTCATTTACATTTGTACTTTTATTGTTGAATATAATATAAAATAATATTTTAATTGATTTTCTCATTTGGTGTATATTTGTACCGTCCGCAACTATTGGATGATAACGACACTCCAGTTGTTATCTGTAATATAGAACGACACTATAGTTGTTATCCTCCATGTAAAATGATAGTACAACCGTTATCTATTATAATCTGTCCCTTATTGATAATATATTGTGGTTACTTTGATAATTTAAATATGATATCTATTTTCATATCAATTTAATATATACTTAAATCGATGAAGCTATAATGACATATATTTATTTTTTGTGATAATAAAACATCATTGGTACCGTTTTTAGTAATTTACCTAGAAAATATAGAAATGATGTTCAGAAATTAAATATCATTGATCTAATAACAATTTATTTTTAAATATACAAGATATCAATTACTCGCATCGTGTTTACATAAGTAACGACACTTGTGCTGTTTTCATAACAGTAACAGCACTAGTGCTGTTCTCATTTTTCATGTTGTCCAAGCAATGAGAGTATTTTTCAAATTATGTGAGCGGCATGTCTATCTCACGACTTACATGAGTTCAAATTATGGAATATCAAGACCAGAAAGATTCGTGGCTGCCTATACTCAAGCTTATCGACAGAACGACATAAGTAACGTTTAACTGCACATGCGTCGTTCTATTGATTTCTCCTATATTTTACTTCATCTTCATCGCGTCGACATCAAGGACTGAACCTCCTAACTTAAGAAAGTCAGATTATTAATTACGTGACGAATAACAGTAGAATTGACATAGATTGTAAATGTCGCGTTGGTGAAATCACAAGTCACCATCCATATTCGTTGGAAAACAAAAGTAATGAAAATATCTCTCAAATTATGTGAGCGACATGTCCATCTCACGACGTAAATGAGTTCAAATTATGGAATATCAAAGCCCGGAAGGTTCGTGGCTGCTCATAATCATATTTATCAACAAAATGACACAAGTGACGTTTAACGGCACCTGTGTCGTTCTATTGGTTTCTCATATATTTCGCTTCATTTCCATCGCATCGATCTCAAGGATCGGACCTCCTAACTTAAAAAAAGTCTGAATTATTAATTACATGACAAATAACGGTAGAATTGATATAGATTATAGATATCACATTGGTGAAATCACAAGTCATCATCCACATTTGTTGAAAAATAAAAGTAATGAGAGTATCTCTCAAATTATGTGAGCGAAATGTCCATCTCACGACTTACATGCGTCCAAATTATCGAATATCGAGGCCCGGAAGGCTCGTGGTTACTTATACTCATGTTTATCGAAAGAACGACACATGTGACTTTTAACGGCACATGTGTCGTTCTATTGGTTTGTCCTATATTTCGCTTCAATTTTACCGCGTCGATCTCAAGGATCGGATCTCATAACTTAAGAAAGTCAGAATTATTGATTACGTGATAAATAACGGTAGAATTGGCAATGATTGTAGATATTGCATTGGTGAAATCACAAGTCACCATCCACATTCGTTGAAAAACAAAAGTAATGAGAGTATCTCTCGAATTATATGAGAGGCATGCCCATCTCGCACCTTAAATTAGTTCAAATTATGGAATATCGAGGCCCGAAAGGCTTATGACTGCTCATACTTGTGTTTATCAATAGAACGACACGTGTGACGTTTAACGTCACCTGTGTCGTTCTGTTTGTTTCTCTTATATTTCGCTTCATTTTCACCGCGTCGACCTCAAGGATCGGATCTCCTAACATAAGAAAGTCAGAATTATTAATTATGTGACGAATAACGACAAAATTGGCATAGATTGTAGATGTCGCGTTGATGAAATCACAAGTTATCATTCACATTCGTTGGAAAACAAAAGTAATGAAAGTATCTCCCAAATTATGTGAGCAACATGTCCATTTCGCGACTTAAATGAATTCAAATTATCGAATATCAAGGCCCGGAAGGCTCGTGGCTGTTCATACTCGTTCTATTCTCAATAACAGCACAAGTGCCGTTATTATCATAGTAACGACTTGTAGCGTTCCCGTTAATAAGTTTATGTCATTGTAACGTTAGCTATGTCATTCTTTATATCTGTTCAATATCATTAGATCTCATAACTTAAAAAAGTTAGAAATGTTGATCATGAGACAAAGAACGGTTGAATTGACATAAATAATACGATATTGAGTTTGTGAAATCACAAGTTATTATATTGCTTCGTTAGAAATATAATTACTGAGTACATCTCTCAACTTTTGTAAATAGAATGTTCATATTGCAATTGAAATGGGTTCAACTTATTGATTTTTGGAGCATGGATGGGTCGTGACTACGTATACTCGCCTTTATAGACAGAACAACTCAAGTGTCGTTTAACAGCTTATTTGTCGTTCTATTAATTTCACAAATATTTTACTTCTTTTCTAACGCAACAATCTCAAACACTAGATCTCCTAACTTAAGAAAATTAGAAAAGTTGATTTTTACATAAATTATACGACATTGAATTGTTGAAAATCACGAGTCTTGTATTGATTCGTTAGAAAATATAATCAATGAGCATCTCTCTCAACTTTTGTAAACGAAATGTTCATATTGCAATTTAAATGAGTTCAACTTATTGATTCTTAAGACATGGATGGGTCATGACTATGTATATTCGTCTTTATAGACAGAACGACACAAATGTTGTTTAACAACTCTAGTGCCTTTTTGTTAATTTCTTAAATATTTTGTTTATTTTCCAGTGCAATAACCTCAAACATTAAATCTTCTAACTTAGAAAAGTTAAAAAGGTTGATCATGGGACAACAAACGGTTGAATTGACATAAATCATACAATATTGAGTTTGTGAAATCACAAGTTATTGTATTAATTCGTTAGAAAATATAATTATTAAGCACATTTTCAACTTTTGTAAACGGAATGTTCATATTGCAATTGAAATGAGTTCAACTTATTAATTTTCAGGGTATGGATGGATCGTGGCTATGTATACTTGTCTTTATAGATAGAACGGCACAAGTGTCGTTTAACAGCTTTTATATCGTTCCATTGATGTCACAAATATTTTACTTTTTTTCCAACGCAGCGACCTTAAACATAGATCATCTAATTTGAAGAAGTTAGAAATGTTGATCACATGACAAAAAACAGTTGAATTGATATAAGTTATACAATATCGAGTTGGTGAAATCATAAGTTATTGTATTGATTCGTTAGAAAATATAATTAATGAGCATATCTCTCAATTTTTGTAAATGACATATCCATCTTGTAGTTGAAATGAGTTTTGGGACATGGATGAATCGTGGTTGCCTATAATCGTATTTATAGACAGAACGAGACAAGTGTCGTTTTCTTTACAGTAATGACACAAGTGCTGTTCTCGTAGAAAAATTATGTTTAAATAACGGCATTTGTGTCGTTCTTTTAGAATTTTTCATTTTAGTAATGGCATAAGTGACGTTCTCAATGACATTTTTATCCTTTAAACGGCACTTGTATCGTTCTCTTAGAACTTTTCATCTCAGTATCGGCACAAGTAATTTTATTATTTTCAACAAAATACAAGTAATAAGCATATCTCTTAATTTTTTTTAAATGCCATATCCACCTTGCAAGTTAAATGGATTCAACTTATTATTTTACGAGACAAAACGGGTCCTGGTTGTTTAAACTCGTAATGATAAACAGAACGGTGCAAGTGTTGTTTTATTATTAGTAACGGCACGAGCTATTCTGTTAATTTCTCCTTTATTTCATTTGTTTTAATGCAATAACCTTTAGAATTGTGCATCCTAAGTTGTGCAGTTCTCATAGTAATAAGAGAGGTTTATATTTATTATGTCACTTGTGCTGTTTTTTGAGAATTTTTCATCTCAATAACGACATTGATACCGTTCTTAGGGACTTTTTAATTACTATAACTGCACTTGTGTCATTTTCATGGACACTTATAAATCAAATATAGTGACAGTTGTGCCGTTCTCATGAATGTTTTCATCTCAATAACGATACAAGTGTCATTCTCATAGAAAAGTGGCGTTATCCTATTAGTATAACGCCATAAGTGTCGTTCTCATGGACAAGGAA